AAAGAAAAAATAGTCAACTTAGAATTCTTTCCCCAGTGGAAAGATCATTCAAAGACAAAGGTGAAATAAAGCCTTTTTCAGACATATGAATGCTGAAAGATTTAATTAACAGCAGATCTACATTACAAGAAATATTAAAGGAAGTGCTTCAGGCAGAAGGAAAATGATACCATATAAAAATGTAGATGTATATAAAGAAATGAACAGTTCTGAAAATGATCATTGTGTGAGTAAAAAAGGACAATTTTTATTTTTAAATCTCTTTAAAAGATAATGAACTTCAATTAAAAAAAAGTTCATTATCTTTTTAAAAAGATTTTATTTATTTATTTGAGAGAGATAGAGAGAGCACAAGCAGGTGGAGGGGCAGAGAGAGAGATAGAGAGAGAGAGAGAAGCAGACTCCCTACTGAGCAGGGACTCTGATAGGGCTCGATCCCAGGACCTGAGCTGAAGGCAGATGCCTAATTGACTGAGCTATCTAGGTGCCCCAGCAGTTCATTATCTTTTATGATCACTGGGATAGATATGCAAATGTCTATCTCAGAGCTTGTAAGAAATTAAAAAAAAAAAAAAGCCCTGCAAACAACAATTTAGAAAGTAAACTTTGCACAGAAAAAAGAAAAAAAGCACTCAATGGACTTAAAATTCAGTAGCATTTTTGAATATTCTATAATTTGCATCTTTGATGGAGCAAACATTTCTTTAATAGTAAAAATTGATTTAAAAATGGTGAAAATTGATTAGAAAAAACAATTAGAATGACCTAACCATTATAAATAAGCATTTTGTGGTATTCTTACATCATTCTATCTCCCTACTTTTTTCTCTCTCAGTCTCTGTCTATCTCTCTCAAGTATTAACAGTTTCAATGACGGAATCTTCAGGTTTCTGCTTTCTTTTCACTTACAAAAAGCATGAGAATTTTCTATGTCCTTAAATGTCTTTAAACATAAATTAAGAGCTCTCTAATATTCCATTGTAAAGAAATACCATAATTTAACCCTTCCCTTCCTATAGATCATTTAGGTTGTTGTCATATTTTTACTTTAATAAATACTGTTCCATTGAATCTTCTTGGAATGCATGTTTACTAAATCTTTAGGATAGCTTTTGGAAGTAGAATTATACTAAAAAATTATGGACATTTAAAAAAGATAATGATCTGTTTAAAGCAAAAAGAATTAACAATGTAGTATGAGATTTGTAACATATAGCAGTAAAAAGTATAGCAAAAGTACAATGGATGAGAGGAGGCAAATAGAAGTACACTGTTGTGAGGTTCTTATAATATGGCAAGAAGCAATTAATATTATTTGAAGGTAGATTTTGACAAACTAATGATGTATATTGACAACTCTAGAGGAGCCACTAAAAAAGTAAAACAAAGAAGTATAGTTATTAAGTCAATAGTGGAGATAAAATGAAGTAAATTAATCTTCAGGGAATCCAAAAGGAAGCAGTTAAAGACACAGAAAAAAAGAATAAAAACCTGATGGGACAAAAAAGAAAAGAAATATTAATATAATAAGCCATTCATGATAAAAACTCTTAGAAAACTAGAAATAGAAGGAAACTTTCTCAGCATGATAAAGCATATCTGCAAAAAAACCTGTAACTGATATCATACTTAATGGTGAGAAACTAGAAACTTTCTCACTAAGATCAGGTACAAGGCAAGTATATCTCCTTTCACTACCTTTTTGTAACATTGTACTGGATATCCTGCCTAATCCAATAAAGAAAGGAATGGAAACAAAATGTATACAGATTGGGAAAGAATAAACAAAACTTTGTTCATAAATTATATGTCATCCATGAAGAAAATCCAAAGAATGGACAAAAACACTCCCAAAACTATAAGCAATTACAGTAAGGTTACAGAATTCAAGGTTAATATACAAAAGTCGATTACTTTCCCAAATACTAGCAATGAGCAGATGAAATTTGAAATTAAAAGCACAACAGCACTTGTTATGTTACATTACATTACACCCATTTACATTAGCACCCACCAAAGTGTAATTTAGGTATAAAAAATAGTAACAAATGTGTTATAAATAATAACAAAATATGTACAAGATCTACGTGAGGAAAATTACAAAACTCTGATGAATGAATCAAAGAAAAACTAAATAAATTGAGAGATATTCCATGTTTATGGATAGGAAAACTCAAGATATCAGTTCTTCTTAATCTGATCTATAGGTTCAATTGAATCCCGATCAAAATCCCAGCAAGTTATTCTGTGGGTATTGACAAATGTTTCTAATGTTTATACGGAGAGGGAAAAGACCCAAATAGGCATAATGATATTAACAGAGAAGAACAAAATTGGAGGAATGGTGATGCTACCCAACTTCAAGACTTACTATAAAGTCAGAGTAATCAAGACAGTGAGGTATTAGCAGAAGAATAGACAAATAACTCAAAGTCACAGAAGATAGAAAGACCAGAGATAGATTCACATAAATATAGCTAACTGATTTTCAACAAAGGAGCAAAGGAAATACAATGGAGCAAAGATAGTCTCTTCAGCAAATGGTGCTGGAACAATTGGACATCTACAGGCAGAAAAATGAATCTAAACACAGACCTAACACCTTTCACAAAAATTAACTCAAAATGGATCGTAGACCTACATGTAAAACAAGAAACTCTAGAACACCTAGAATACAACAGAGGAGAAAACCTACATGACCTTTTTAGATATAACACGAAAAGCATGATCCACAAAAGAAATAACTGATAATGTGGACTTCATTAAAATTAAAATCTTCTGCTCTGTGACAGACAATGTCAAGAAAATGAGAAGGCAAGTCACAGCTTGGGAAAATATATTTGCCAAAGACACATCTGATGAAGGACTATTATCCCAAATAGACAAAGAACCTTTAGAATTCAACAAAAAGAAAATTAACAACCAGATTTTAAAAAATGGCACAGTGACTTTAATAGATATCTCACCAAACAGATGGCTAACAGGCATACGAAAAGCTGCTCCACAACTTATGACACCAGGGAAATGCAAATTAAAACAAAGAGATCGTATTACACACCTATTAGAATGACCACAATCTGCAACATTGAAAACAAATGCTGGAGAGGATCTGGAACAACAGGAACTTCTCAATTATTGCTGATGGAAACACAAAACAGTACCACCACTTTGGAAGACAATTTGGTGGTTTCTTACAAAACTAAACATACGGGGTGCCTGGGTGGCTCAGTGGGTTAAAGCCTCTGCCTTCGGCTCAGGTCATGATATCAGGGTCCTGGGATCGAGCCCCACGTCAGGGGTGGGGGTTATTGCATGTAATAAAAGAACTTCAAAATGTATGAAATTAATCTGATAGATATTAAAGGACAACAAGACAAACTCACAATTATAGTTGTAGATTTTAATAGTTCTTTTTGTTGATAGAATTGACAGAAAAATTAGTGAGGAAAAGAGGGCTAAACAACACTAGCAGTCAAATTGACCTAATAAATACTCCTTTCAAGTGCATGTGGAATATTCACCAAGGTAGATTATATTCTGAGCCATAAACTGAATCCCAATAAGTTAAAAAAACATTGAAATTATACAAAGTATGTTCTCTAATCATAATGGTTTTAAAAAGAAATCAATACAAGAAGGATATCTATTTGAGGAATCTTTGGATTTGGAAATTAAACAACACAGTTTAAAATAAAGCAAAACAAACAAACCAAAAAAACAAGACATGGGCCAAGGAAAAAATTACAAAGAATGCTAGAGATTATTTTGAACTGAAAAAAAAAAAAAGACAGAGTATAGCAACACATGTGGGATGGAATGAAGGCAATTCTTCAAATGAAAATTTGAAGCATTAATGTCTATTTGGATGGGAGAAAGTTCTCAAATCCATGATCTAAGCTTCCACTTTAGGAAACTAGAAAAAGATAAGAAAATTAAACACAGAGTAAATAGAGGAAGGAAATAATAAAGATTAAAGCAGAAATAAATGAAAGAAAAAAGAGGAAAATCAATGAAAAACATATTTCACAGTAATCCTTCTCCTAGGTACTTACCAAGGAAAAATGAAAACAAATGTCCATAGAAAGACTTGTACTTGAAAACTCAAAATAGCTTTATTTGAAATAGTCAACAATCAGAATGAATTTAAATGTCTATCAGTTGGTGAATAGATTTACAAATTGTGGTGTGTCTACACAATGAAATATTACTCAGCAGTAAAAAGGAACAAACTACTTACACATACATACAACAACATAGATGAATTTTAAAAGTATTATGCTAAGTAAAAAAAGGCAGATGCAAAATTTTATATGATTTTGTTATATGATTATGGAACATGAAATTCTTGCAAAAGCAAAACTAATAATACAAAACAGATCAGTGAATATGGTAATTAATGTAACATAATAAAAGAAAGAAAGAAAGAAAGAAAGAAAGAAAGAAAGAAAGAAAGAAAGAAAGAAAGAAAAAGAAAGAAAGCAAGGAAGCAAGCAAGCAAGCAGATCAGTGGTTTCTAGGACCCAGGGATAGTGTTATGGAATTAGTAGCAAAGGGGTAGGAGCAAATTTTAGGAGTGATGGAAATGTTCTATGTCATGATTTATGATAGCTGCTGTAAGGCTATGTATGCAGTCTTAACTGTTTGTCATAACTCTTCGAATTGTTCACTTAAAGTCAGTGTATTTTGTTACATATAAATTGTACTTCAATAATAAAAAAGAAAAATGTGAGCTACAGATGATGTTTTATAAGCTAGTTTTAAAAAATTACATGTTTACATGCTTATTTAAAAGAAAAAATATAAAATGGTAAAAAGGGTATAAGATGAAAAAGTGAAAGTTCTTTCTTCAATTTCCTACTTCTTGGGGCATATTACCAAACAGTTTCTGTTTCCTTTCTTTTTTTTCCTTCCCTTCCCTTCCATCCCCATCATTCCCCTTCCTATTCCTCCCCTCCCCTTCCCTCCTCTTCCCTCCCCTTCCCTCCCTCGTAACCAAACAGAGCACCAGAAAATAAGACTGATAATCAACAGACTTCAGAATGGACATACTAGCCTTCTAGAAGTGCTAACTTCTGACCTAGACCTCACTGGTTCTGTGTGCACAGCTGGTGAGTGAAGTCACCTATTGTTTTCAGGAATCTGTTCTCTCTCTCTTTTTTTTTTTTAATGATCATATTGCAGTATGTTTTCTTTATAGTCCTGCCACTTGAGATCTTAAGAAGTAGAGTATATATCAGTGTGTCTCTTGGAGTTCGTGTTTTAGTTTTAAATGCTTTTGGTCTCTTCACTGTTCCTTTTCCCCGTGGGTATTCAATCATGTATAAGACAAACTGGCCTTGCATGTGACTCTCCTAGTAATGCCATATGGTTTCCCTGAATGGGGATGGATGGAGGAATTTATTGACTTTGATCATTGCACTATAACAAATACAATTATGGCATGGGAAATTTCCTACTAGAGTTCAAGAGAAAATGGGGTAACCCCCTCCTTTGGATGATTTGTGTGTCTGAATGAATCAGGAGGTTTTCCCCAGATCCCATCCTCTTTCATATGTAATCATGGAGATGATGTGCCCATCTGCATTACTGGTGAAGGATTTCTCTCTACCCCCTTTGCCAATCAAATAATCACTCCTTTAAAACAGAGGGAATGATTTAGCAGTTGAAGTGTTGGCTTTGAAACATTTAGACGTGGTGGCATCTTTCAAAATTTCATCAGGATTGACTTAGTCCTTCATTCTGGAAATATCACAACCACATGGAATCCTAAGCCATTACAGAAAAGCTGTCTTTATAAGAAACCCCAAACTTGGGGGTCTATTGTCTCTGAGATTGTTGAATATACAAAGCATCATTTTCTCAGCTGTGCCATACAAATAAGCACCTAAAATTCTGACCTTAGATATCCCTGGTAGGTTTCAGCATTTTAAATAGAGAATGTAAATTAAATATTTAGTTCAACTTTAAACTTACAATGCCATGTGCATTTTCAGACTGACTGCTTTTATGCTTTTTATAGTCGGATAGTTGTCCCTGTGGATAGGTAACTTTGTTTCGGTAAGTTACCATTTGAATGTTGCCTTCTGAAACTAGCAGCATTAGCCTTCTGTTTAATTTGTTTCTTATAAAAGGGAAAAGAGAGAAACTAAGTAAGCTTCAAAGCCTGGACACCCAGTTAGAATTTCTGCTTTATGCACTGTTTCCAATGAAGTGAATTGGCAGGAGTTGGATGCCCCCCTCAACCTTAGCGTGGCCTCTTTGAGGACTGTCACTGTCACTGTGGTGACCCATAGCCTCAGTCAGATGATAAAGAAAATGTCTCCCGAACCCACAAAGCAATATCATACGTAACACAGTGTCTGAAGAAGGCAAGCAGAGGTGGAAGCAAGGGGTTGAAGCAAAGGTCACTGGTATACAAGGAAATACTTTAGTGTGGGAGGCACAACCTGCTGTGTGATTGCCAAGATCTCTCTGGAGGAGGATCCACCAAGTTTGTTCTCACTCTTGATGTGATGAAAAGCGTCCTCGGGAGGGTGCAGTCTGCCAGGTGGCTGGGTCGCTGAGAAACACAGGAGCCCACTTAGGCCAGACCTGAACTAAAGCCCATTAAAACAGGGAAAATACAGCCATGCAGCCCTTTTATTCAGGCCTCATTTAATGGCAACAGTTCTGTGTCTTTTGGCAGCCCGGATGCCTCTCACCCCTGTGGTCCCAGGAGTTTGGCATCATGCAACATTGGAGAGCTGTTCAGACAATCATTCTGTCTGCACTCCTACTCGGTTCTTGGGCTATCTCCCTGGGCCCTTGGGCTCCTGGGTAGTTTCTGATGTGTTTTTCATCTGTGTGATGCCACTTGCAGTCCTTGTTGTTTGGTGAGTCTGTGGCGGATCCTCCCAGGCTTGGGAACAAAGGGGTTCTGATAAGTGTCTCTTGAGCAGCTGATCTATATTAAATAATACATGCCTTTCTTTTCTTTTCTTTTTTCTTTTTTTTTTTTTTTTTTCCCGTAACACCCTGCTGGTTGCCAATGGCACTGTGTCCCCCTAGTCCAAACAGCACCAAGGAATGGGATCCTTGTGCATTTTCTTTTTAAAGCAGCCCGTAGGTCTCAATAAGGGCTCTTTCTTAACATCAATCACCATCCTGTTGAGGGTCCTGGGCAGACCATTTTAATTGACCAGAACCAAATCCAGTTGTTCGATCATGGGAAATGAATGCTATTAGATTGGTTTCTCTTTTGCACACTTCGCAGAGTTAAAGATTAAACATATAAGCACTCTGTTACTAAGATATAATAAGCCAAATAATTTCAAGGGCTTTTTTCATCTTAAAAATTGGATGGAATTTCAAGCATCATGATGAAAATATTCTCTGTGCTAACAGAGGGTTCTATGGATCCTTTATTTTCCTCTTATATATAACTGACATTGATGTAGCGTGAACAGATGGTTAAGGGCTCTGTTTAATTGGAATTGCAAACCTGGACAAATTTTCTAGTTACTCTAAGTTTTCTAGTTATTCTTCTCCTCTGTAAAGTGGGGATGATAACAGCACCTATCTCCCAGAGACGTTATGAAGATTTAATGAAATAATCCATGCACAACGACTTCCTTGTAGTAAAAAATAAAGGTTAGCCATGAAAGTTTTCTTAGTACAAGTGTGCAGAAATGTCATAGTTGGCTAAGTAAATTTGATTGAAATAACTGTATAAAATTAAGTCTTAAAAATTACAGAGGGAAAAATTATATGTGTTGTGGCCTACATTTAGTGGGTTGTGTCCTTATGCTAGATAAAAGAAACCTTTTTGTTGTCTTCTTCTTCCTTTCCCCACTGGGTTGATGTATCCAGTGTTAACTCATCAGGGAGAATTGGGGAGTACATGTGATGATTTTGTTTTTCACTCCCTTCCTGTGCATATATCTCTCAGAGCCTTTACTAAATTGTATTGGGATTATTCATTCAATGGTCTGAATTAGCCACTAGGCCAAGGGCTTTTTGAGGATGGAGACCTCATCTTATTTTTCTTTGTCTCATGACCGCTTTGTTTCATAGCACTTGGCACATGGTGTGTTGGTAGGTCCCGAAGAAAATGTTTCATGACTGATAGAATGTATTTTTAAGGACTGTGTGCCAGAGTATAGTAATACTTAGTAATTATTAACTATGGGAAGAAAACTTTTTTAAATAAAATTAAGCATTCCCAGTAGTTTATTTTTGCTGTTATTTCCCTTGCCTCAGGTGACAGATTTAGAAAAGTGTGGCTATGGCTGATGGCAGAGAGGTACCACCTGCGCTCTCTTCAAGGATTTTTATGGTTTCAAGTCTCACATTTTGATCTTTAATCCATTTTGAAGTGTGTGTGTGTGTGTGTGTGTGTGTGTGTACCATGTAAGCACATGGTCCAGTTTCATTCTTTTGCATGTGGTTGTTCAGGTTTCCCAACACTTTTTGTTGAAGAGTCCTTTCTCATTGGGTATTCATTCCTCCTCTGTCAAAGATTAATTGACCGTATAATTGTGGGTTTATTTCTGGGTTTTTGGTTCTATTCCATTGATCTATGTGTCTATTTTTATGTCAGTACCATACTGTTTTAATTACTACCACTTTGTAATATAACTTGAAGTCTGGAATTGTGATACCTCCAATTTTGTTTTTCTATAAGATGGCTTTGTCTAATTGACGTCTTCTCTGGTTCCATACAAATTTTAGGAATTATTTGTTCCAGTTCTGTGAAAAATGTTGTTGGTGTTTAAATAGAGATTGCATTAAACCTATAGATTGCTTTGGGTAGTATACATGTTTTAGCATTATTTCTTCTTCCAACCAAAGAGCATAGAATGTCTTTCCTTTTCTTTGTGTCCTCCTGAATTTCTTTCATCAGTGTTATATTGTTTTCAGATCACAAGTCTTTCATCTCTTTAAGTTTATTACTTGATATTTTATTGTTTTTGATTCAATTGCAAATGGGATTTTTTTTTAAATTTTGTATTCTGCTGCTTCATTATTAGAGTATAGGAGTGCAACAGATTGATTTTGTACATTGATTTTGTATCCTACATATATATATATTTTTAAGATTTTATTTATTTATTTGACAGACAAAGATCACAAGTGGGGTGGGGGAGGGAAGCAGGCTCTCCACTGAGTGGAGAGCCTGATGCGGGGCTCGATTCCAGGACCCTGAGATCATGACCTGAGCCAAAGGCAGAAGCTTTAACCACTGAACCACCCTGGCGCCCCTGTATCCTATATCTTTATTGAATTCATTTATCAGTTCTAGTAGTTTTTTGGTAGAGTCTTTAGGGTTTTTATATATAGTTCTATGTCATCTGCATACAGTGAGAGTTTTATGTCTTCCCTACTAATTTGGACGCCTTTTATTTTTTTATGTTGTCCAACTGTTAAGGCTAGGACTTCCAGTACTATGTTGAATAATAGTAGTAAGAGTGGACATCCTTGTCTTGTTCCTGACCTTAGGGGAACAGCTCTCAGTTTTTTACCATTGAATATGATGCTGGCTGTGGGTTTTTCATATATGGCCTTTATTATGTTGAATATATACCCTCTAGACCTACTTTGCAGAGGATTTTTATCATGAATGTATTTTGTACTTTGTCAAATGCTTTTTCTATGTCTATTGAAATAATCATGTGATTTTGATCCTTTCTTTTATTGATGTGATATATCATGTTGATTGTTTTGTGAATATTGAACCATGCTTGCATCCTGAGAATACATCCCACTTGATCATGGTGTGTGAGTTTTAAAATATATTGTAGGATTCAGTTTGTTGATATTTTGTTGGGGATTTTTGCATCTATATTCGTGAGAGATACTGGCCTATAATTCTCTTTTCTGTGGTGTCTTTATCTGGTTTTGTTATCAGGGTGATACTGGCCTCATAGAATGAACTTGGAAGTTTTCATTACTCCTGTATTTTTTGGGAATAATTTGAGAAGAATGAGTATTAACTCTTCTTAAGTGTTTGGTAGAATTCACCCGTGAAGCTGACTGGACTTTTGTTTTTTGGGAGTTTTTTGATTACTGATTCAATTTCATTGCTGGTAATGGGTCTTTTCAAATTTTCTATTTCTTCCTGCTGTAGTTT